CCAACTCGTCTGGGTCCAGGGAAGGCTTCTTGAGGAGGGGCCTCACCACGGCTTCCTTAAGGGCCGCCGGGAAGACACCCTCCCGCAAAGAAGCGTTAATAATTCCCTGGAGCCAGGCTCGTGTCCCCTCCCGAGCTGCCAGTACCAGCCAGGAGGGACACGGATCTAATAAACATGTGGTTGCGTTCAGCCTCCCCAAACCTTTGTAGTAACTACGGTCGTGTGATCAAAATTCAGAGGTTTGGCAACTGGTTCACGCTTAACGACGGTCGCTGGGTCCCGGGGTCACGTGATGCCCTCTGGCGACCTTCCAAGAAGCAAAGTCAACAGGGGGAAGCCGGATTCACTTAACGACTGCAGGGATTCACCGAACTATGGCGAGAAAGGTCACCGAATGGGGCAAAAGCCGCTTTGCAAAGGTCTCGCTTAACAGCAGAAAATTTGGGCTCGATTCTGGCCGTAAGCCGAGGACTACCTGTGTTCCCAGAATTCCTCTCCCTTGGGTTTGGTTGAAAAGCCTTCCCACTGGGCTGGGAAGAGGAAGGAAGGGGGGACTCACCGACGTCACCAAAACGTAGACCCGTAAGTCGAATTTCCGACCTGCAAACCGGAGAGAAATCAATTCATTAAATGCTCCATTGTGATACAAGAAGTCTTCAATCCGGGGGTCTCAAACCTGGTGTAGGGTCTCCTGCTTGGGCAGGGTGTGTGTGGACTAGATGACCTACAAGGCCGCATCCAACTCGGTTATTCTGATTCTAACCCTAACCCAGGGGGGGAGGCAACCTTGGCTCTTTTATGATTCGTGGACTTCAACTCCCAGAATTCCTCAGCCATCATGGGGGAACTATGGCCCCTTCATGGCTTGTGGACTTCAACTCCCAGAATTCCTGGGCTACCATGGTTGGTTCAGGAATTCTGGGAGTTGAAGTCCACGAGTCATAAAAGAGCCAAAGTTGCCTACCTGGCTTCCCCCCACTCTGCTTGTCAGAAGGTCGCAAAAGGGGATCACGTGACACACACCCCTGCCCTGGGGACGCCGCAAAACCTCGCTTAGCAACAGAAATTGTGGACTCGGTTGTGGTGGCAGGACTACATTCTGGCAAGATTCTGTGTGTAGGTCAGGGGTAGGCAACCTTGGCTCTTTTATGACTAGTGGACTTCAACTCCCAGAATTCCTGAGCCAGCATGGGGGAACTATGGCCCCCTCATGACTCGTGGACTTCAACTCCCAGAATTCCTGAGCCAGCCATGGTGAGGGGAAAGGGAGAGGTTTCCAAGCTGAGCCATGCTGGCTCAGGAATTCTGGGAGTTGAAGTCCACGAGTCATGAGGGGGCCATAGTTCCCCCATGCTGGCTCAGGAATTCTGGGAGTTGAAGTCACAAGTCATGAGGGGGCCATAGTTCCCCCATGCTGGCTCAGGAATTCTGGGAGCTGAAGTCCACCAATCATGAGGGGGCCATAGTTCCCCCATGCTGGCTCAGGAATTCTGGGAGTTGAAGTCCACCAGTCATAAACGAGCCGAGGTTGCCTACCCCTAGTGTAGGTGAACAGCAATAAAGGAACTACTCAGAAGTAACTCTTAAGTGTCATTCTCGGTTCTTTGCTCCTGACAGCAGATGCTGTTCAAGAAATTTGAACTCGGGACAGGCTAGTTAGAAAGCTAGATGTGCAGGTGGTCCTCCATTTACAACCATTCCTTTAGTGACCGTTCAAAGTTACAACAGGACTGAAAAAAAGTGATTTAGGACTGTTTTTCATTCTGACAACCGTCGTGGCATTCCCAGGGTCACATGGTCAAAATTCGGACACTGGGCAACTGGTTCATACTTATGTCGGTCGCAGCATCCCAGGGTCACATGACCCCCTTTTATACAGGTAGTCCTCAACTTAACGATTTGTTTAGTGACCGTTCAAAGTGACAACAGCGACTTACGACCGTTTTTCACACTGACAACCTTGGCAGCATCTCCCTGATCACGTGATCAAAATTCGGCCGCTTAGCCAGTGGTTCGTACTTACGACGGTTGCAGCGTCCTGGGGTCACGTGATCCCTTTCGCGACCTTCTAACATAAGGTTAGAAGTGACCAGAAAGGTCATAAAATGGGGCAAAAACTCAACTAACAAGTGTCTCGCTTAGTGATGGACATTTGGGTCCCGATTTTGGTCGTAACTTGAGGACTGCCTGCCTCTGGGTCGTGGGAACGGGCAACTTACCACCGATTAAGTACGGGTTCTCAATATAACGCTGAGCCACGTAATTCTCCACTGGGATGTCATCTTTCTGATCATCGGGGCGCACGGCATCCTGGGAAAGAAAGCGGGGGTCCTGGTGGGTTTAGGAAGAAGAACAAAACCAGGGCCTGCAGGGACATATCGAGGGGGACGGGGGGGGAAGAAGGGGTCAAAAGCCAAGATGGCACCATCAAAGACCTTGTTCTGTCCCCGTTCCGACCCACACACCCAAACAGCCAGCCGAGGGTTAAAGACTTCTCCAGACACCACTTCACAGATAAGAAACTTGGCAGCAGCTCCGTAGCTGCCTGCCAAGACCTTTTACTCCAAACACGGAAACAAAAACAATACACACAGTTTAAAACCACAGCACACTACTTTGCCAGAGATTCAGCTTTTGTCCGTCACAGAGGTCCAAATGGCCACCACCACCCTTTTATAGCCTGTGGGGTGTGGTCCAGTGACTCAGCTTAATCTCTGGCACGTCTCTTTTTCTGCTGCGCACGCTTGTCGCTCCTACGCTGGCGTGGATGCAGCCACAACTTCTCTTCCTCATTATCCGACACACCTGGCTCCTGGCCAATCTCAGAACCACCTGGCTCCTGGTCAATCTCTTCTCCGTTGGGAGACACCTGAGGCCTTGCCAAAGAGGAGGGTCCTGGAGAGGGAGGCCTGGCCATCTCCTCTCCTTCATGTTCGGAGCCTTCTTCCTCCGATAAGAGGGGCTCACAAGACGGAGCCACAACAGACCTGGCCTTTGTCCACGTGTGCGGGATCCCACGGTTCCAGCCTCCATTTTGACTTTGTGACCACCTGCGGATGGCCCTCTTATCTGGCCAGTGTCGAGCCCTCCCGGGCTCGACACACAAAACAGGGGAGACAGAATGGTGATGGAGGAGGAAACCCAGCACGGGATCCCAGCGGCTCACCAATTTGGACGAAAGAGCTGCGGATCGTCCGGCGACCGGTCTGAACACTGAAAGACGGCTCTGAAGAGCTCTGGACGCCGCGCATGCGCAGAACTGCTGTCGAGCATGCGCAGGAGAAAGACAAGCCGCCGAACAGCTGACAAGCGGCAAGCCGGTGAACAGCTGATGGGCGGTAGCCTGCAAGTGCAGCTAATCGGCAAGGGAAACCTCAGGAGTGAATGAGGATTCCTCTTATTGAAACCGGGTGCTGGTTGGAGGAGTTGAGGGTGGGGTGTAGCATGTCAGGTAGGGGTGTGGTTGCAGCATGACTAGGCACTGGTTAATGAAGGGTGGGGTTGTAATTAGTGAAGGGTGGGGTAGTATTGCAGGAGTGTATTTAAACGACGCTGCCTCCCAGCGCAAACTTTGTAAAGCATAGAACCTGATTGCCAAGGTCTGTGAGATCGTCATCGCTTTACCTCACGTAAACTGGAATTATTGGATGAAGCTGTTTCTGCGTTGTTCTTTTCCCCTTCACATGTCTGGTAAGGAAAGCTGACAGCCAGGATCTAAATCAGGGGTCTTCAAACTTGGCCCTTTTATGACTTGTGGACTTGTGGACTTTGCTGGCTGAGGAATTCTGGGAGTTGAAGTCCACAAGTCATCAAAGGACCAAGTTTGAAGACCCCTGTCTTAAATCTAAGAAACAAAATGGAGGCTGGCTGAGGAATTCTGAGAGTTGAAGTCCACCAGTCATAAAAGAGCCAAGTTTGAAGACCCCTGGTTTAACATGTCAACCAGGAACAGGAGAAAAAAATGAGTTTGAAGACCCCTGATCTAGAAGGACCAGCAAAGCTGCTGGTCCTTCTAGATCAGGGGTGGGAAACCAGGGCCCTTTTACGACCTGTGGACTCCAACTCCCAGAATTCCTCAGCCAGCCCCACGTCATAAAAGGGCCATAGTTCCCTACCCTGATCTAGATGATCAAAGAAGGAACAGCTCCTTCTAGATCATGAAAGAAGGATCAGCTCCTCCTAGATCAGGGGTCTGCTCCTTCTTCGGTTGGACTGGAGAGGCTGGAGGAGAAGATGAAGTTCCTCCATTCAGCACCTCAAGAGCTTCGGTCTTGGATAAGACAGCATGGGAAGCCACCTGAGATGCCAGCCAAGTGGAGAAAGGACAAGCGTCCTTGACAGACCAGAAGCCGTTCAGCCACGGAGATCCTGAGAAGGTCCACGTGGGCTGGTGGCTCCGTCACAGAAGCTCAGGAGGACAGCCCCACTTCCATGGTGGACCAACCCATGTTGGACCAGAACCAAAAGCCCACAGGGCCGCTCACCGAGCTGAGCTTCAAGATGGGCTCTTCCCAACTAATCCCTTCCTCAGAGGTGAGGAGGAGGAGGAAGAGGAGGCATCTCACCTTCCTCCAGTCAATCACATCCTTGAGTTTCCGGAAGAGGAAAATGCCCCTCCCTTGAGACCGGGCAACCTGGAGGAGACAAAAGAAGAGAGTCACTCACCTTCACAATAGGTAGGTAGGTAGGTAGGTAGACAGACAGACAGACAGACAGACAGACAGACAGATAGATAGAAGGGACCTTGGAGGTCATCTAGTCCAACCCCCTGCTCAGGCAGGAAACCCTATACCATTTCAGACGAAACATGGCTGATTCAGACGTACAGATAGTCCTCGACTTAACAACAGTCTGCTTAGCGACCATTGGAAGTTACAATGGCACTGAAAAAAGTAACTTAGCACCCACCTTTCACACTTAACGACCGTTGCAGCATCTTCACCGTCACGTGATCAAAACTCAGACGCTTGGCAACTGGCATGTATTTATGACAGTTGCAATGTCCAGTAGGTCACGTAATCCCGTTTTGCGACCTTCTGACAATGGGGGATTAGTAACGACCGTGTTACTAATGTTAACAACTGCAGTGTTGTTAACGTGTGGCGAGAAAGGGTCATAAAACGGGACAAGACTCACTCCTCTCTCCAACTGCTTTTCTTTCTATTTCAATCTCCCTTCCTCCTCCTCCTCCTCCTCCTCTTCTTCCTCCTCCTCCTCTTCTTCCTCCTCCTCCTCCCCCTCCTATCCCCACCCTCTTACCGGTTTCATGATCCAGGTGATGCCGGGGTTCTTCCGAAACTCCTCCACAAACAGGTGATACTCGGAGGGCATCTCGAAGGTCTTGGGGAAGAAGTCACACTTGGTGGCCTCCAGCTTCCCGGATTCCCTCTCCAGCTGTTTCCGGAGGCGCTTCAGGTTTTTCACGGTGTAGTTTTTCCGAGTCAGCTGTGTGGGGGGGGGCAGACGGACGGGAGAACCATTTCAGCCAAGGGTGCCCCGGGTCGGTCCCGTCCGGATCAGAACCGGCTCTCGGCGGAAGCTCCATTCAACACTGTTCTTCATTTGGGAAAGAAGCAGAACTCGAGCAGATTCTAGGAATCTCCCCCTAGGCCAGGGTAGGCAACCTCGGCTCTTTTATGACTGGTGGACTTCAACTCCCAGAATTCCTGAGCCAGCCACGCTGAGGGGAAAGGGAGAGGTTTCCAAGCTGAGCCATGCTGGCTGAGGAATTCTGGGAGTTGAAGTCCACGAGTCATGAGGGGGCCACAGTTCCCTCACGCTGGCTCAGGAATTCTGGGAGTTGAAGTCCACGAGTCATGAGGGGCCCATAGTTCCCCCATGCTGGCTCAGGAATTCTGGGAGTTGAAGTCCAGGAATCATAAAAGAGCCATGTTTGAAGGCCCCTGGTTTAAATATTTAAATATTTTTTCCTCACGGTCACGTGATCAAAATTCAGGCATTTGGGCAAAGGTAGGCAACCTTGGCTCTTTTATGACTCGTGGACTTCAACTCCCAGAATTCCTGAGCCAGCTATGCTGAGGGGAAAGAGAGAGGTTTCCAAGCTGAGCCATGCTGGCTCAGGAATTCTGGGAGTTGAAGTCCACGAGTCATAAAAGAGCCAAGGTTGCCTACCCCTGGCCTAGATATAATCCTCCATCTGGAGGGGAGAGGTCAAGGGGTCAAGAGAGGACCCCTCCATCCACATCCTGGTTCAGCCATGATTTCCTAGGCTAGCAGGTCTCAGCTTAATACCCTGGTTGGGTATGTCTAGTTTAACAAAGGGGGGATGAAAGGACTAGGGGTGACATAATAGCAGTCTTCCAATATTTGAGGGGCTGCCACAAAAAAGAGGGGGGTCTACCTATTCTTCAAAACGCCTGAAGGCAGGACAAGAAGCAACGGATGGAAACTAACCAAGGAGAGAAGCAACCTGGAATTAAGGAGAAACTTCCTGAGAGTGAGGAAAATTATTAACCAGTGGAACAACCTGCCTCCAGAAGCTGTGAATGCTCCAACACTGGAAGTTTTTAAGAAGAGACTGGACAGCCATTTGTCTGAAATAATAGGGTTTCCTGCCTGAGCAGGGGGTTGGACTAATGGCCTCCAAGGTCCCTTCCAACTTTATTATTATTATAATCTAGCTATAAATCAGGGAGAGAAGCAACCTGGAACTAAGGAGAAACTTCCTGACAGGGAAAACAATTAATGGAACAGTACTTCAGAAGTTGTGGGTGCTCCATCACTGGAGGTTTTCAAGAAAAGATTGAGCTGCCACTTGTCTGGAATGGTCTAGGCCTAGGGTCTCCTATTTGAGCAGGGGGATGGACTAGACAGCCTCTGAGGTCCCTTTCAACTCTGTCCTTCTGTTATGTACATCATAACCACAGCACCAGTGGCACAATGAGGTCACAATGCGGACAATGGCTTCCAAGACACCCCCTAAGGAAGCGTCTCCTGGACCCCTGCCCAACCTGCTCACCTGTCTTGGCTGACCCCCCCCCCCGCACCCCCACTTCTCCCTGCCCCAGTTTTGCCCACCTCGTAATGGTTGCGGAAGTGGCTGATGCGGACGTGCTCGTCCATGTAGGTGTGATCGAAGTTCTCCTGGAGCCAACGGACGTCACACCAGTAAAAATCCCACTCGCCCTCACTGGGAAGGGAGGCCAAACAGAGATGAGTCAACCAGCAACTCTTTGACTACGCAACCTGTGGATCTAAAATGCTCCGGTCAACATCAGAGGTTTCTGAATCTCCGGGCGTGCAAGGATGGGGGAAAAGCAACCCCCCAGAAGTGGGAGAAGCGTCGTTATAAAGGAACAGGCTTTCGAAAACAGCATGCGGAGCCTGGGGGATTCTGGGAGTTGAAGTCCACCCATCTTCAAAGTGTATAAGAAAACCCCAGGCTAAGGTTTACACCGCTTAACGGTTTAACGGCAGAGACGTTTGCGTCGACCGCGAGTTCTAAAAGGTCAGCGTCGAGAAGGCTGAAATGGTTTACATTTTACACCGAAGGCAAAACAGGGTATTAATAAACAAAGGCAAAATACACACCATTTGATTGGCAGGTGATTGGACTCAATCCGCAGCCCGAGAAAGGACGGAGTCTCTGGGATTGGTAGTTTTCTTGCAGGCGTTTCACGACCCAACTAGGTAATATCATCAGTGATGGAAGGGAGCGGGGTTTGCAGGCAGGAGGTGGTGGAGGAGGAGGAGGACTGTGGTGTCCTTGGTGCTCTCTGAGCTTGGTTGCTTTCTGGCAGATGTTTCATGACCCAACTAGGTGACATCATCAGTGCTTGGAGGGAGTGGATTTGCTCAAGGTTCTTGTGTATAGGCAAAGAGCAAACCCACTTCTATCTACCACTGATGGTGTTACCTAGTTGGGTCATGAAACTTGTGCAAAAAAACAACCAAGCTCATAGAGCATCAAGGACCTCACAGTCCTCCTCCTCCTCCTCCTCCTCCTCCCATCCCACTCCCTTCTAGTACTGATGATGTTACCTAGTTGGGTAATGAAACGTCTGCAAGAAAACCACCCAGCTCAGGGAGCACCAAGGACCCCACAGTTGTTCTTCCTCCTCCTCCTCCTCCTCCTCCTCCTCCTCCTCCTCCCATCTAGCACTAATGATGTAACCAAGTTAGGTCATGAAACGTCTGCAAGAAAACCACCAAACTCAGAGAGCAGCAAGGACCCCACAGTCTTCCTCCTCCTCCTCCTCCTGCTCCTCCTCTTCCTCCTCCTCCCACCCCACTCCCTTCTAGTACTGACGATGTTACCTAGCTGGGTCATGAAACGTCTGTAGGAAAACCACCAAACTCAGAGAGCACCAAGGATTCCTCATTTCAACCCTGAACTACAAAAATTCTCCTTTATCGAAGGAATCTCCTAAACCTTGATTCAAAGGAGCAGATCTAATCCTTGATCTCAGATAACCCCATTCAGAGGAAGCTCCAGATTTTTGAATCTGTCCCCCCAGAAACCAGAAATTCTGCTTTTTCCCTAAGCTTAGCGGAGGAGAGATATGTCTTCCCGGGCCCTGCCAGCTTTTATCATCCCCGTCATAATATATAATATCTTACTCTTTGACTTCCACCCATCCAGGTCGCTGTTGAAGGACATCTAAGATGGTGTTGGTGAGGGCACACTTGAATCGGATGGAAGCTCGGGGTTCCCTGTTCAAAAATATAGATATATGTATTATATGTTAAAATTAAAAATCTTTTTTTCTTTCCCAAATAGCAAGAACATTTTTTAGATTGGAATAAATCCATTTGCTCTTTTCTTATAGGGGCCTGAACCCTAAGACGAAAAAGAGAGTGAAGAAGGATCAAGATTGCACAATTCTTGGGTTTACAGCTGCTTTGGTCTGTTTTAACAGGTCTCTAGTCCTCATGAAGCATAAGCGGGATAACATACAGGTAGTCCTTGACTTACGACCGGTCGCTTAGCGACCATTCAAAGTTATGCTAGACCCCCCCAAAAAAGGTACTTGTAACCTGGATTCTTGGGGTCACCTGACCGCATTTTGGGCACTCTGTAACTGGCCTGGATTTATAGCCATTTATACAATGTGTAAATTTACACATAGAGCCATTTACACAATTCGTTTTGCCCTGAAACTGGCATATACATTCCAGTTTCAGGCAAAAACCACTCCCTAGCAAACAGTGGATTCGTTTAATGACCTCAGGATCACTTAACGACTGCAGCCCTATTGGTATTGTGCCAATCATTTTTATGATGACATCAAGATATGTCATAGTCATCTGGCATAAGCCGTTACGATGTCACACGGTGTCATGAGATCTCCATGCAAATGAAGCCGATTTATTACCACCCCAAATTCTATAAAGGCAGTCCTTGTTCAGCAACGGCTTAGTTCAGCGAACATTCACAGTTATTACAGCAGGGGTCTTCAAACTTGGCCCTTTTATGACTTGTGGACTTCAACTCCCAGAATTCTTCAGCCAGCATGGCTGGCTGAGGAATTCTGGGAGTTGAAGTCCACAAGTCATAAAAGGGCCAAGTTTCAAGACCCCTGCTCTAGAAAGAGTGCAGAGAAGAGCAACAAAGATGATCAGGGGACTGGAGCCCAAAACATACTAGGAAAGGCTGCTGGAATTGGATATGTCTAGTCTAATGAAGAGAAGGATGAGGGGGGACATGATAGCAGTCTTCCAGTATCTCAGGGGCTGCCCCAAAGAAGAGGGAGTCAAGCTCTTCTCCAAAGCCCCTGAAGGCAGGACAAGAAGCAATGGATGGAAACTAATCAAGGAGAGAAGCAACCTAGAACTCAGGAGAAACTTCCTGACAGTGAGAACAATTAACCAGTGGAACTGCTTGCCTCCAGAAGTTGTGGGTGCCCCAACACTGGAAGTTTTTAAGAAGAGACTGGGCAGCCATTTGTCTGAAGTGGTATAGGGCTTCCTGCCTGAGCAGGGGTTGGACTAGATGACCTCCAAGATCCCTTCCAACAACAACAACAACATCATCATCATCATCATCATCATCATTATTATTATTATTATTATTATTATTATACACAAACAGGCACACAGGTATTCTCAGCAGCTGGTTCCAACTCTCTTCTTTGTTTATACTTTTTTTTAATAAAAAAAACAACCCAAATCACTCACCGTTCTTTCAGCTTTTGGCAACCGTACGGCCCTTTGTGGTTTGCGTTCTGCAAAGAGATCAAATTTACAAATTCTGAACCGTTTCGAAATAACTTGGTGCCTCGGTTGGCGTCACGCAACCAGGCACCCTGGGAGGGGTGTTCGAGCGCAGGATTACAAACTCCATCATCCCCTCCAGGAGCATGGTCAACGTTTGGCTCAACGACCGCGGCGGCAGTTGGGCAAGACTGGACTCTCCATTATCCCCAGCGGCTGTATTCCGCCCCAGACCTCTCCCCACCCGCCCAGCTCGCCCGGCTGGGGATGATGGGCTTTGGAAAGGGCTGGAGAAAGCGATGACCCCCTCCCCGGTGGGGGGAGATGCCCTGCAGTTGGGAAGACTGGACTCTCCATTGTCCCCAGCGACTGTATTCCGCCCCAGACCTGTCCCCACTCACCTAGCTCACCCGGCTGGGGATGATGGGCTTTGGAAAGGGCTGGAGAAAGCGACGCCCCCCTCCCTGGTGGGGGGGGATGCCCGGCAGTTGGACAAGACTGAACTATCCATCGTCCCCAGCGGCTCTATTCCACCCCGGACCTCTCCCCACACGCCCCAGCTCACCCGGCTGGGGATGATGGGCTTTGGAAAGGGCTGGAGAAAGCGACGCCCCCCTCCCTGGTGGGGGGGGATGCCCGGCAGTTGGACAAGACTGAACTATCCATCGTCCCCAGCGGCTCTATTCCACCCCGGACCTCTCCCCACCCGCCCCAGCTCGCCCGGCTGGGGATGATGGGCTTTGGAAAAGGCTGGAGAAAGCGATGACCCTTCCCTAGTTGGGGGTGGGATGTCCAGCAGTTGGGCAAGACTGGACTCTCCATAGTCCCCAGCGGCTGTATTTCGCCCCAGACCTGTCCCCACAAGCCTGGCTAGCCCGACTGGGGATGATGGGCTTTGGAAAAGGCTGGAGAAAGCGACGCCCCCCTCCCTGGTGGGGGGGAGATGCCCGGTAGTTGGGCAAGACTGGACTATCCATCGTTCCCAGCGGCTGTATTCCGCCCCAAACCTCTCCCCACCCGCCCAGCTCGCCCGGCTGGGGACGATGGGGTTGGAGAAGGCGACGCCCCCTCCCCGGTGGGGGGGATTCCCGCCCCTCCCGCCTCCCCACCTTGTTCTTGGCCATGCTGCTCCTTCCCCCGATGCGCGTCCCGTCGCCGGGGCAACCAGGACTTCCATGGGCGGGGCTTAGTGAGGAGGGGGCGGGCTTAGTGGGGAGGGGCGGAGGAAAGTCCCCCCCTCCGCCCTATTATTGCATGCGGGTCGGGGGTCCCGCCCCGCTTCGGCTCTTCTGCACCGGGCAGCGCAATGCTAAAAGGGGGGGTGGTCGCAACTTGGGAGGGGGAGAGGCGCTTCTGCCTCCTCGGGAGTAACGCTCCGCACTGGCCGGGCATCCAAGCTGCGACCCCCGGACGCCCCCCCCCCGGGGATCTTGCAATTCCCTCCTCCCCCCTCCCACGACCTGTTCCGCAGTTGCGACCCCCGGGGCGCCTCTTGCGTTTGAGCCTCGCGCTGCGCGGGCTGGAAAAGATCCGTGGGAGGAAAGCGGAGGGAGGGAGACCCCTCAAAAGTGGGGCTCTGGGTTCCTCTGGATGGGACTGTGCAGGGTTCCCGTGGGAAGCCCAGGTTTGGGATACGTGTTAAGCGTTTCTGGGATAGGATAGGATAGAAATAACAAATGAATAGAATAGAATAGAATAGGATAACAGTGTTTCTCAACCTTGACAATTTTAAGGCATGTGGACTTCAACTCCCAGAATTCCACAGCCAGCAATGCTGGCCGTGGAATTCTGGGAGTTGAAATCCACATGCCTTAACATTGTCAAGGTTGAGAAACACTGGGATAGAATAAGGACAGGATAGAATAGAATAGAAATATGGAATAGAATAGAATAGAATAGAATAGAATAGAATAGAATAGAATAGAATAGAAATTAAACAAAAAAATAGAGAAAAATAGAATAGTAGAATAGAATAGAATAGAATAGAATAGAATAGAAAATAATAGAATAGAATAGAATAGAAGAATAGAATAGAATAGAATAGAATAGAATAGAATAGAATAGAATAGCAGAGTTGGAAGGGACTTTGGAGGTCTTCTAGTCCAGGGCTTTTCAACCTTTTCACCCATTGTACCACTCTTAGGATATGGCAACATCCGAGTACCACCAGTCGCCTAGTAAGGTGTCAAAAACTTGATGACCAAAAAAAAAAAAAAAAGGGAAAAAGTGATAAAGTACAGGTAGTCTCAACTTACAACAGTTCGCTTAGTGACTCTTCGAAGTCACAATGACACTGAAAAAAGGGCCCCCCAAGCCACAGCCGAGCAAAACACCTGCCTCCCCACCCGGTGGCGCTCTTCCTCCTGTCCGAGGTTTTCATTGTTGTGAGCATTTCTGTTGAGGATTGGCAGTGGGGGTGGGGTGGGGGTTGTTTGGTTTTTATTCCCCCCGTCTGCTGGGTGGTTGCAGCAGGTTTTGGTCACTTCACATGACCCTGGGACACTGTGACGTCATAAATATGAATCGGTTGCCAAGCCTCTGAATGTAAATCACAAGACCCTGGAGAGGCTGCAACATTCCAGCTGATCCTGGCGCTTCTTCTGGGCTCAGCAGAAGCACCAGGATCAGCGCCGAGCTCCAGCTGGAGCCTGGCACTGATCCTGGCGCTTCCACTGAGCCCTGACAGCCCCGAAGAAGCGCCAATCAGCTGGAAAGCGGCACTGATCCTGGCGCTTCCGCTGAGCCCTGACAGCCCTGCAGCTCCAGCCGTCTCTCGCTCAGGCTTGTGCGGTGCTACCAATCGGTTCAGCTCATTCCCCTCCCCCACTACCACTTTTCTAGGATGGTCGCGTACCACCTACCAGGTGCCAATGTACCACAGGTGGCACCCGTACCACTGGTTGGAAAGCCCTGGTCTAGTCCAGTCCCCTGCTCAAGCAGGAGAACCTATAGGGCAGTGACCGCGAACCTATGGCACGGGTGCCAGAGGTGGCACTCGGAGCCCTCTCTGTGGGCACACATGCCGTTGCCCCAGCCTCGCCTCCCCCGTGACCCCCTCCTCACCAGCAGCCCCCCTGGAGGAGAGTCGCCCCCGAGTGTGGCCCACGCGGAGCAGCGCAGCCAAGGACATGGCAGCCAGGCAGTGTAGACAAGATTCTGCCCTCACACCCCATCATGCACAATTGATGCTGCAGGGCGCGGGCAGAGGGTGTGGCCGCCATAGCGCTGCTGGGCTGCCTGGGCAATCTGCGGCGGGCCCTGGAGGCGGTGAGTGGCCTTGCGGGCAGGCGGGTTGGGGACGGAGCAGGAGCGGGGCGGGGGGGGAGTAGAGGCGGGGCTAGTTTTGGGGCACTCGGTCTCTAAAAGGTTCGCCATCACTGCTATAGGGTCTCCTGCTTGGGCAGGGGGTTGGACTAGATGACCTACAACAGGGGTGTCAAACGCAACGGCTGCAACGGTCGTAAGTGTGACAAATGGTCCTACGTCCCTTTTTGGATGCTGTCGTAACTTTGAATGGTCACTAAAAAAACTGTTGTAAGTCAAGGACTAACTGTTTATGGTTTATGACAGGGGTAGGCAACCTTGGCTGTTTTATGACTGGTGGACTTCAACTCCCAGAATTCCTGAGCCAGCCACGCTGAGGGGAAAGGGAGAGGTTTCCAAGCTGAGCCATGCTGGCTGAGGAATTCTGGGAGTTGAAGTCCACGAGTCACGAGGGGGCCATAGTTCCCCCATGCTGGCTCAGGAATTCTGGGAGTTGAAGTCCACGAGTCATAAAAGGGCCAAGGTTGCCTATCCCTGGTTTATGAAGAAGATTAATAAGGAGCATCTGTAGCTGGGCGCAGGCTGGGCCTGGCTGACCTCCAGATAGCAACCGAAATACGGAAATACATTGTCTTTCAACACATCAGTTTGAGAATTCAGGAGAACCGAGCGAGTTGCACTTGATGTACAGGGCAGAGAGATCCAACTTGAAAATGGGTGGACTTCAACTCCCAGAATTCCCCAGCCAGCAAAGTTTAATTCTGGGAGGTGAAGTCCACCCACCTTAAACCTGCTGGCTGGGGAATTCTGGGAGTGGAAGTCCACCCATCTTAAAGCATACTGCTGATGATGGTGATGGTGATGATGATGATGATAATAATAATAATAATAATAATAATAGTAACAGCAACAGTAACAGTAACAATAACAATAACAATAACAATAACAATAATAATAATAATAATAATAATAATAATAATAATAATAATAATAATAATAATAATAATAATAATAATAAAGTTGGAAGGGAGCTTGGAGGTCATCTAGTCCAACCCCCTGCTCAGGCAGGAAACCTTATACCATTTCAGACAAATGGCTGTCCAGTCTCTTCTTAAAAGCTTCCAGTGTTGGAGTAAAGTGACAGTCGGCAAACTGCAGCTCCGTCCCCCTTCGGCTGCGTTCACACAACGCCTGAAATCCCGGTTGAGCCGGTTCTGTCCCAAACAACCGTCCTCCAAGGTCCCTTCCAACTCTGTTGGTCTATTCTTCTTCCTATTGCCCAACAGATCCCAGTGGCTGCAAGGGGACCCCTTCCCCCTCAATATCCCCCCCCCTATCACCCTGGGTCAAGGTGGCCTTGATCCCACAGCCTCTATTTTGGGCAGGTGACCACCGAGGGCTCCATCGCTTCCCGCAGGCAGTGCCAGCTTGGCACATTCCAGCGGCTTGGGAACATTGCATTCCCCAGTTCTCCCTCCCTTCCCCCCCTCCCCACGCTTCTAGGAATGACTCTCCGTGTTCAGCCCCAGAAGGACCCCCCACCCCTGTGCCACCCCCTTGGCGCCGCTCGCTCTGGGCCAGCCCGTTTCACCCGTGGTACCAGCGCCTGTCCAGAAACCTCTCTTCTCCTCCAAAGTCTGGGGGGGTCTCCCAGAACTGGGGTGGAAGGGGTGGGCTTGCTTTGCGAATACCGGCTACCCTGGGGTCCATTCCCCGCCACCCACCCACCCACCCCCCCGGGCCAGGTGCCAAGGCGCGATGCCAAGAAGACACAGCTGCTTCCCCTGTGACACAAAAGAATGCATTCTCTTGCACACAAAGCATTTGCGTTGTGCCCTTGTCGTAGCCACACAACCAGGCCAGGGTGCTCCCTCCTCCCCCCTCCCTTTTCAGGGAGGTGGGGGGGTCTTCCTCTGGCCTGCCAACCCTTGGAAAAGGCATTTTGATAGGAGGAAAAAAGGCTTTCCCAGAGGAGGAGAAGGAGGAGACAATGACTGTGTAACACACCGACCTCTGCAGATTGATTCCCTACCACGAAATACGAAATACGCAGCTGTCACCAGGGAGGGTGGGGGGGGGGTTGCTCTTTTTCTGGGGACGGGCCAAGGACGGGAACGAGGGCCGCCAGCCTGGGGCTGTAAATCTTGACCCAGAGCCTGCCCAGGGAAGCGGCCATCGGCTGGACGTTTGGATAAAGAGGGGGAAACCCGTGTCCAGGATATTCGGTCTGCCTCGCAAGCTGCAGCTCTAAGGTGACTTTGAAGGACCATGGGCAACAGCATGAATAAGGTACGGAATCCATTCTGTCCCCCCCCCCCACTTTTTAATTTATTATATATATATAAATAATATCTTCAGGAAGTTTCGACATCCTACATTCAAAGCGACTTAAAATGGGAATGGGAAGGACAAAGCATGTTAAAAGTGCCCCTTCCCCAAATTACATCTAGAAAGGAGAAACTTCCTGACAGTGAGAACAATTAACCAGTGGAACAACCCGCCTCCAGAAGCGGTGAATGCTCCAACACTGGAAGTTTTTAAGAAGAGACTGGACAGCCCTTTGTCTGAAATGGTGCAGGGTTTCCTGCCTGAGCAGGGGGTTGGACTAGATGACCTCCAAGGTCCCAACTTTATTATTATTATTATTATTATTATTATTATTATTATTATTATTATTATTATTATTATTATTATTATTATTATCATCATCATCATCATCATCATCATCATCATCATCATCATCATTATTATTATTATTATTATTATCATTATTATTATTGATCATTGCACGGTCAGCCAGATGTTCAGACTGGATTTGGCATTTTGTCTACCTATCGAGTCCTTACCAAGGACCTGGGATTATGAT